CAAATTAATTAGATTAATTTAATGGTGTAGTGCTCAAATTATTTAATATTAATAAGTATAATTGAGGGAAATTATCACTACAAGAAATTGCACTTTTGGCGGCTACTTTTGGCTACAACGTCAATTTTTCGTAGCTAAAAGTATATTTTTGGCGACACAGCAATCAATTTCGTTGGGAAATGTAGACCTTTACCAACGCAATTTACTATCGTCGCTAAAAAAGCATAACACTGACTAGGCACCAAAAATATTGGTTGGCGCCAAAATTTCATAAATTTTAGCTACGAGGCTTAATTTTTAGCAACACAATAAGCGTCGCTATTAATGTGCTTACTTTTGGCGACGACAAGTTGGCATGGGCAAAGAGTTAAACATTTAGCGATGATAATACTATTCGTCGGTAAAAGTTTTGGTAGTGAAATGAGGTGATCTAGTTATTTGTATTTTTATTATAATTTTTCAAAAAATTTTAAATATTCTAATTATTGAATTGTAAAATTAAAGTGATCATCGAATTATATCACAAAATAAACCCGTCAAACTTAAACATGTTCTTAAGTTGAGATGGCTAATTTAAGATAATCTAAACTTTTTCAAAGTGGTTAGATCATCAATTTCAATATATTTGGTTGTATTTTTAGAAACTTATTTCAAAATTTCTAAAAAATTAAAAAACATTTGGTGAAAAAATAAAATATACTTATTATTTTTGTATAATTTTATGTTTTGGGAGGTCATAAATAATTTTTAAAATTTTAAAAATATATTTTTGATTTTTATTGTTCTCAAATTAATTTTAAGTTTTTCCAAAAAAAAAAATCTAAAAATTGTTTTTATTGTCCTCATTTTTTTTTGGTGATCTGCTTTATTCAGGCGGTGTGAATGTTCCCTCTCAAAATTCCCTCTTTTTTTTCCCAGGATAGGTAACAAACCCCCTCATCACTCTACCCGATTTTCCATCTTGCACAGCCTTCTCTCATAATTCGTAGGTCCCTACCCTTACAATCGCACATCCGCATAGACGTTTGTTGATTATCAGGTTTCCGCCGTTTGCTGCTGATGTGCGAGACCAGGTGAAGATTCGACTAAAAAAACTTATAGTTCTCTATTTGTCTCTTGCTCAAATCGATTCTCTCGTATGTTGTGGATCTATGTTTTTTATTATTAATCTGGTTTTCTTCGATCTGTCTTTGATGTCCATGTGATTTTGCTGTTCGAAATGCCACTGTCGGTAAGCTATATGTAGTGATTAACCTACTGATATGAAATCAAAGTAACTTTTATAGGTATTTGATTGAATTAGGTTTAGAATAAAATCTGTATATCAATGCCCTCATTTTGTATTTTGATCTGTTGTACTCTGTAAGAGAACATTTCCTGAAATGTCTGTCCCTTGCTTTGTGATCATTTTTAAAGCATTTATAAATATATTATTTAGTACCCCTTATTTTGAAAATCCATGATTTTTGAAAATCATGAAATATTTCAGTTTCCCCCTAAAATATATATGTATATATACATGTAGCGGCTTTAGATGATTTACTAACCCATCTATTACAGCTTTAATTGTTTCATTAAAATTTGTATTAAACTTGTCTAATAATGTTCATGTTTTGGTGAATGTGTAAAGCTATTATATGTACCACCATTTTGATCTTTGGAGGAAAATTAAAAGAATTATAGGGGTTGAAGGATGGTTGGGGAAGTAATGGAGGGTTGTGGACAGTTCCAGAATATAGCATTAGCAATGGCTGTGGTGATGGTGGCAATAATATCAAGGTAAAAGAGGAAGTAGTATTTCAAGGTGGAGGAGGAGAGGAGTGGAAGTTAGGGAAAAGAGAAGCTAGTGTGTTGAGGTACAAGGAGAAGAGGCAGAACTGGCTTTTCTTCAAAGGTATCCGTTATGAAGTTCGAAAGATCAACGCAGAGAAGCGTCCTCGTATGAAGGTAAATAAACATTATATATATATGTAATTAATCTATCATGTTTAAATGTTTTAGCTATTGCAAATGATTTTGATAGTGTTTTTCTTTTCAATATCATTTCTTCACTTTTTTGCAGGGGCAATTTGTGAAGAGAAGTTGAAAAATTATAAAATGTGACATGTTAAATTGTAGTCATCATAAAGATTAAAGAGCATGTTCTTTTGTGTGCATCTTTTTCTTCTTTTTTTTTTTTGGTGGTTTTTTTTGAGGTTGCTTTGTTACATTGTCTAAAAGGAAGTGATAAATGGCATGGCAAGCCAAAAAAAAATTACCCGCAAGAAAAAAATTAAAAATTGGTAGAGTATTGTAAAATTCTGGCAGTAATAAACCAAAAGAATAATACATGCATTAGATCAAGACAGTTTGAGTTAATATTACCTATCGATGGCAATTTTTAGTTGTATTGTTTTGTAAGGTAGAAAATGAAGTAGAAAAAAGGTGGTTGAGCTGTATAACATTTTTCTGTTACTGTATAAAGGTCTAATGTGCTTTTAAAAAAGGTCTGTACTTTTATAACATTATGTCAATATAAAACAAATGTTTTATCACTAGTCGCCACTTAAATGATGTCTCAATGTCTAATTGATTTACAAAGTGCACACATTATAAGAAAAAAAAGTTACTATTTTTTTTGTGGCAAATGTTTATGCAATTTCCCTGCTATTTTACTTTTAGTTTAATCTGGATAACTTTTAGCCCTGTAGCCGTCATGCCAAACCTCCAACCACCTCCCTAAAAATTGTTCACTTTGATAAAATGAAATGTTGCTTTTATGGAAATTCATGTGAACCTGTGATAGGGTGTGAATCAATGAAATTCAAAAAATTTAAAATGTGAAACACGACATAGACCTTTTCATTAAACAGTCATTACCGTGTTTGTATGCGGGTTGCAGTAGTAGTCAGTGTATTTTAGATATAAACGGATCATAGACTTTCCAATGTGATCATGGGGCCTTCCACCTCCTCTAGATTTTTTTTCGTAATTCGTTGAAATTCTCTCATTTAGACCAACCATATATTAGGCATTTGTCATTTGTGTTTTGGTAAAGATAACCGATGGTGCAAAACTTTCACAATAGACAGCAGGAATTGTTTATTCTCTGAGTTGATATATATCAGTTGTCCTCTGCAAAAAGGCTTTTTGTGTTTGTCTCTGTCATTTTCCTTTCTTTACAATTGCCTTCATGTCTTTTAGATCTATTTTTTCGTGAGTAATATGCTTTGCCTGAGGAATATACTGTTCTCCTCAAAGATGATGTTATAATCAGACTGTACATCGTAGGACCATAACATGGAAGAAATCACAAGGCCCGTTTTGACAAGCCTGTTTGTTTGGCTTGTTGGAAATTGACATCACTGAGAGAAAATCAGGTTAAGGTAATACTATAATGTACCAAAGAATTTAATATACAAATTTTTATATAGAATAATATATTTATTTATATCTATCAATTCGAAAGTCAAAAAGCTGGTTGTGGGTTTAAAGAAAATTATAAGCAAATCAAAACCAAATAATAAAGTGAAGAGACAAGAGATTATTGCTAGAACAAATATTCAGTCATAACCGATTAACATTATTGATGGTGAAGTTGAAAGTCACCATCCCAAAAAAGAGAAATATGGAAGGGGGTTTTGTTACAAGCCATGCCATTCATCTTGAAATTGAGAAGGCAAGAAGATGCTACAAAGGTAAAAAACTGAGATGTATCCCTACAAAAAAATATAAATAAATAAATAAAATAAATCACTTTGTTACCTGATTGTTTGCACTAAGTGCTTGAATGAACAGCACTTATTAATGAAATTGAAAGCTAGTAGATGCAATTATTGAAGAAGCTAGCCTCTTTTTGTGTAAGTTTCTCTTGGAATTTTGTTCCACAGTGCATCTCAGATTTTCTTTCTTTCTTTTATTTTTATTTTTATTTTTTATTTTTTTTAAGGGGTTCTGTTTTAATGATTTGTGTTGGCCACTTGTGCAGGTACGAATTGCCCAGGGTCTTGTACATTTGGGAAAAGGCTTGTTGACTCTTGCTCCATATCATTTGAGCGCTTTTTGCTATCCCCGTAAGTGTTTCTTCTCCCCCATATTAACTTTTCAATTTTAGGGTGTGGGTTAGAACTGTTCACATACATACATATCCAGCGGGAGATGAGCAAGTTTCAACAATGGGAGACTTCTTCCAAAGTGGTAGTTTTTCACATCAGGACTGACCCGTTAATTGGATGTTTCTGTTGAATCTAAAGGTTTTTTGTTAGAATTTTGATGGCACCTAGGCTAGTCCATGTAGTTTAAACCTACCATTCAAGTGGTTCATTCCGCTTTTAGTTAATATCCCATATACAGGGGAACAATGGTTTGTTTCCCATTTAAGAGATTTATTTTTGAAAGAAGAATTATTCCACATTATTTATGTGATGGAATTCTAGAAATGAATCAATAGCATTCATATGGAATTTCCAAACACACTAGAAACAAACAAAAAAAATTCGTCATCCTATGAGCATCTTTTTATAAGAGAAGTTTTGGTCTTAGATACAGCCGAGTGTTGGAAGAGGATTAAATCAGATGATCCAAATAAGTTCAGCTTACAGCTCTGTTGGGTTAAGAATGGTGTCAAATGCTTCATGCATTCACTTCTTCGACAGGGTAAATCATTCAGTAGAGCTAAAGAGAATGGATCTGTATTGTCTGCAAAGTTTGTTTACTGTTGTAATCTGTAATGTGGCTATTTTGTCCAAAGCTGTTAAAAGGCTGTCATGTGGAGTAAAACATTTTTATTTATAAAAAAATAATAAATAAATAAATAAATAATTTTGTGGGATAAAGCAATATTGGGAGACAGGGTTACAAATATGAAGTTTTTAGATTATGATCTAGCCTTCTTTTCTGCAATTAAATGAATAAATAAATTTTAGTATCTGTGAGGAGAAGTATTTTAAGTCATACCTCTGGCTTTTCTGTCGGCTCACTTTCTGTATGTATTTCATCTTTTTCTTCCAGAACGGCACTGGTGGAATAGTAACCTTACTGCATGCATGTCTTGATATGAAAGCGATCATATTGGGAAATATCATTATGTTCTTTACTTCCTCGTTTTGGCAATGCAGGTTTGGTCTCAGTTTATAACAGTTTGTCTACTTCTATCTCACTCTATTGCTTTTAATGATTGGGCTGTTAACACACTACTACTAATGGTTGATATAGTTATATATTTCCTTCATACTACAGCCAAGAATGCTACTGACAGTAGATGAGAACTTGAAACCTCTGTCAGTACCTGTGCGGGTGGGCCAAGCTGTCGATGTTGTTGGCCAGGCAGGTCGACCCAAGACCATTACTGGTTTCCAGACCCACTCAACACCGGTTCTTCTGGCTGCTGGTGATAGAGCGGAGCTTGCTACTGAGAAGTACTACATTCTATCCCTTGCTAGTGTAGAATTTATTCAAGACTGAAGCCTAGAGAAAACAACCAAATCTCATGAGAACGTGGACATAACATCACATATTGCAACATAATGCACGTACCGTATTGTTCTATGTGTGAGATACTAAGCATATATTATGACCTGAATGCATTTTATTAGCATTTGTTGTAATACTAATGCCATCAAACTTGCTAGCTGGTTTGTTGTCTATTTGGTTTTATAGATCAGCCTGTTGGGTGCATAAATTTCCTCTTATCTTCCTCACCCTCGTGTGACCATCTTCCGATTGATTGCAGACTCCATTGAAGCTAGACCTGCTTCCTACAGAAGCTAGAATAAGCGGCAAGGAATACAAGGAGAGAGTTGTTAACAATCTCAAGATTTTAATTGTGCATTACTCGGGTATTTTATTGTAGGGATGGATATATATAATATATATATATTTTTCTTTTCTTTCTCCACTAGCAGATGGTGGGGGAAGGAGGCCAAGGTTTCTGATCTTGTTTACTAGTACCTTCATTATAGAAGCATTTTGTTGACTTTCTCATGACTAATTTTAATGATTTGAGTGTAATAAATTTGCCACTAATGGTTTTGAGTGAAATGATTCGACTTTGTTTCATATTTCAGTGCACCAGTCACATTCTAAAGCAGTGAAGAGAGCCATCAGTGAACATTGTGGTGTATGGACAATCTCAATGCTTAGTTACTTTTACTGTTTCCAGTGCATTGGTATAAGGTTAGCTTGGTAACAATTGTGGTGTACTTGAATTGAGTGTTTTTATATGACTCACTCTCCTAGTGTAAACATGACAGCCAGTGAATTAGTTTGAATTTTTCTTAACTTCTGTTAACCTGATGGCTTAAAAGTTACTAAGAATTGTATAGTTTTGAGGGCTGTTTGAACAATTGATGGATGACAAACATGGTAATTGATTTCTGAGCATTTTGTATAGTTTTGTTACTGGTTTTGTTTGATTGTTTTTCTGACTGTTCTGGTAAATGAGGTAAACTGCTGCGTCAATTCTGATTTGGTTATATGATTTTGTTTGGGTTGCTGAGTTGAAATGGTTTTCTGAACTAGTGATGATCTGTGTTGA